GTGCTTTCTAATGTTATGATAACTTCATTGTGCGCAAAAAACTGCGTGATTGATCATTTTTTGGTTAAGCCAATCCTGTTTAAGGTTTTTTTTTGGAAAATTCAAACTTCAAAGCATTATTAACTAGCGTAAATTGGTTAATATGCAAATTTTAAATTGCTTAGAAAGGATTAAAGTAAAAAGTAACGTGTGTAAGAATAAAGTTTATAACATTGGTAGAGAGATGTGAAACTGATTAGAGTCGAGATTTTATTATGCATAAGGAATGTTACAGAATTTAATTTTGATAATTAAAAATTTTAAGATGCCGCAAATTAACTTTTAACTAGGAGTCTGTAATTCTAAATGCATATTCAAATTGTTATGAGCAATGTAGACAATTTTACAATCAGAAATTTTGGAAGAGTGAGTGGAAAATGTATGAACTGTAGAAGATCATGATCACACTTTCGGCAAAATAAATCATAAACGTTTGCAAATAAAAATTTCTAATGAAATTAAAAATTAATGACATTAATTTTTGCATGAAATATATTTTTGAATATAATTTTATTATTAATGTGAATTTTTCGGCAAAGTCACTAAATATATTAATGAAGTTATGAACGGAAGAAAAACGTGAAATTTTAGTGAGGACAAGTGGCGTATTCGTAGTTGCATCAGTTGGATCATACATGATGTATAGAGTGTGTTCACGATTATTAGGCAGGGATTTCATCTGGACGATTCTTGAGCAAGCTCGTCTTGATTTACTTTCTCGAAATGAAACATGTTTATTAAATCCAAGAATGGTTATCATTATTATCATTATATTCATACTAATGACATCAATAACTTTACAGAATTTTTAACTACCAATTTTTTTTGAATTTTACTTTTTCATTTAGTATTTGTTGTTATTTACTAATTAATTGACTGCAGTTGAAGACTTTATAGGGGATGAAATTGTTATTTAATTGAAATTAGCGCGAAAATTTTATTTCGACTAAACTAATATTTATTATTAATTAATCATTAATTAATTAGCTGAGTTTAAATCTTTCGTATATACAAGAATATATATATAATTGAAAATAATATGCTTATGGATTATATTAAAATGTAGCAATAATTAATTAGTATTTTAATTTGTTGCTATTCTTATTATTATTCTTCAGCCGTACGTAGTAAATAATGAAGAAGATGGTAATTGCTCGGAAACAACTACTGATCAGATTAATGATCACTCAACTGTGCATAGTAATGATGCCGTCTTTGCAGCCATGCTTTCATCTGTACTAATTAGTTTAATTTCTCATTAAGAATTAGTGTAACAAAAAGCTTTATGCAAATTTTATTACAATTTACTTTTTTTTACTTTAAGAAATTTAAATTTTAAAATTTCCCATAAAATTATGTCTTAAAAACTGCATATTAATAAAAAACTATTACTAAATTGTACAAAAGCGATAAGATTTATGTTCTTAGTTTAAATTTTTATTCAATTTTGATTGCAGGAAAATTCACCTCAGAAGTATCAATTGCAAGTTCAGGAAGAGGAGTTTCGATCAAGCTGTAAAAAAGGTTCGAAGAAGAAGCTAACTCAACCGGCTTCAAAACAGTAACTGTTATTTTACAGTAATGCTTTTTATGGTATTAGGTAAAATTTTTTAATTTATTATTTAGTAGTATGAGACAAAAATAGCGTATGGTAAGTTATTATATGCTATGAGTAGTACTATTTTTCGTGCAGATATACACTTTATTATATTTAATAAAGGATATCAGTTATTTAGCTGGAATAATTAAATATTTCGTACTTTACACTTAAAAAACAATTGATATAGTAAAAATGTCTGATGTAAGCATTTGATTTTTATCAAATTTTTGATTCGTTTCTTGATATCATATCCATGCTCAAAATCAGTCATGATTTATGATTAAATCAAATTTAATTATTGAAGTTTTATGTAAGATGTACAAAGTTTTCAGTAATGGATATTCAATGAGTATAACCTCACGGAGTTCATCACAAACAAATTATACCTCAAGCGATAAATCAGCTTCGTTTCATTTACTTTGGGATGATCCACGGTGGGATGAAGAAACTGATTTTAGTATTATTTTGAATTCTTGTTTCTTTCTAAACTCTAAAACTTAATAAAGTGTTAAAATGTAAGTAAATACAGGCAGTATAACTAGCCTTTTATTTTGTACAGCACTTAATTTATTCATTTCTGCAATAGTATATTTGAAAATGCCTTTTTGGAAAAAGTAGTAAAATTATTAGATTCTGTTAGAGCTTAGTAAAAATTATTCTTACAGTTTAAACTGTCAATTTATCTACAAAAATAATAATAATAATAATAATACAGCGATTTAAAAAAATAAGAGTTAGAGTTATTTTATTAATCACAAGTAAATATTTTGACTAAAAATGTCTTATAAATTCTTTAATATAAAAGTTAATAACTTTTTCCTTTGAAATCCAGTTAATAAATATGACTTTAAATCAGTTAATTTGGTTAATAAATATGAATTAGTTTTCAAAAAATATATCAAAATAGAGTAAATTTTGTGTCGCTAAGTGAATTAATTAAAAGTAAAGTATAATTTTCTCTGTTCTCAGTGATACTTGCAAACTATAATTGAATAAATCAAAAAATGAATAATTTTTTTGATAAAAGTTGCTTGACAACAGTAATATTTCCTACAGCTAAAAATCATAGTAATTGGGATCAAGATTTATCATAGTAATTGGGATCAAGATTTATCATAATAATTGGGATCAAGATTTATCATAGTAATTGGGATCAAGATTTATCATAATAATTGGGATCAAGATTTATCATTGTAATTGGGATCAAGATTTATCATAGTAATTGGGATCACGATTTATCATAGTAATTGGGATCAAGATTATCGTAATAATTGGGATCAAGATTTATCATAGTAATTGGGATCAAGATTTATCATAGTAATTGGGATGAAGATTTTTTGAAATTTCTCATACTTTTAAAATATCACTTTTACTTTTAGCTATATGTAATATTATTAACCTTATTATTATACAAATTGTGCATCTGAAAATATTCATCAAATCTTCAGCTAATATTCGGCAACGGGACCGATATTCAGTAGTATCCGATGTTTCTAATATGACTGAATTCCAAGCTGCTCAAGGATTATTCGATGGATCAGATGATTGTCGTCAAATCAGTTTGGTAGTTGAAAAAAATAGTGAAATTGGAACTGACGAGTGTATTGTGAGATTTTCTTAATTAGCATAAATTATTACAAAGTTTTATAATTTTTTTTACCTATTCGTGTCAATCATTTCCTAGCAATTAATTTGCAGTTATTATTAATTAAATATTTCGCTTGAGTTTCCTCTTATAGCTTTATTAATGCATATTGTAATTATATTTTGACAGTTCATTGAAATTAAGTACCGTTTTTGTTTAGAAAAATTTCCCTCTTCGAAAAATTAACATAATAACAGCGAAATATATTAATCAAATTTTAAAGATTGAAATATTTTTTACTACTCAAAACATTTAAATCATTATGCAAATTTCGTATAAATCATTACAGAAAAAATTTTAATACACAAAATTTTTGGTACGAATTAAAAATTATAATTTATATAATTTAGATTATTTTTACATTATAATTTATAAAATTATAATTTATATAATTTTTGATTCGTGTACTATAAAAGTAATAAGTGTCAAAGAAATGATAGTAAATTTTAGTCAAATGAAAGCGAAAATTGCGAATTGGATAGTTCTGATTTTATTCGAAAAAGTTGTATGTCAGATTCAAAACATCTCTATCATATCACTACCGGGTTAGTCATTCTTTGCTATCAGGCAGAAAATAAATCATATTTCTATTACCACAAATCAGTAGTTAGTGAAGAATTGATTTTGATTCATTTTATCATTCAGAAATCTGGATCAAGTTTTTATCCTTTTTAGGTATATAACTACAACAGACAGTATGTCAGTGTCCAGTGAACGTAGTTCACGTTCATTTATGTCGTTGAAACAGCGTCTAATTGCAAATGCCTCTTCAAGCGGGTGTTATTTTTATGCTAATTTTGTTATTGCAAGTTATTGTTATTTTCTACAATATTTTTCACAGCCAAAAATGAAGAATATTTTACATTTTGTTTAAATTAAAAAGTAATAATAAAGCATATCGAATATGCGGTATTCAAATTAACATTTAGTGTGTGTATGAAAATTCTTAAAAAAGTTCAGATTGCTTGAATTAGTACAGACCACTGTATCTCTTGATCAGTTACAAACAATAATGACAGATAGTGGAATCAGCAAAGGTACCACGGTATCATCTTCAAACTTACTGTCCAACAGGTTTTTCTTCTATCGAACTTAATTGATTGGGGTGGGGATCAAAATTTTTTGATCATAGAACTTAAGTATTAAAAAAGTAATCCGAACTGTGTTTATTAGAAGGGAAAATTTGAATAAACTGTATTGATTAGAAGTGAAAAAATTGCCATACTTCTATTTTTTAACAAATTTCAGCAAATTTTAACTTAAAACTCAGAACTGTAATAGATCTAAAGAGTGTCAAAACACCAATGAATATTTTTATTGCTATGATTTACCTTATTAAAACTTCAATTTGAAATTAATTTTATTCGTAGATCACTTTGTTATAATAAGAATTCAGAAGCATTTTTAAGTGACGATGAAGCAGTCGGTTTGAATATGTCCTACAGCTTTACATCGCCATCTCTGTCGAATAATAAAGTTTCTGTTATTAGGTAAAAGTTTTAACACTATTCCTAATTTAAATTACTCCTAATCTTTGTCTTATTAATTTTCTTCATAAGATTATGATATTTAACATAGACATAGTTATCAGGTTGAGTATGTATATCTATGAAAATAATTTATGAGATACAAAATAAGATAATTAGGTTAGATCGAGCAATTAAGCAAGTTCAGAATGGTTAGTTTATGTGTATTAATATTGTAGTTGATAACAATAATTTGGCTAGTTGTTAGTTTGTTATGGGTGATGAATAAATGTGTTCAATTGAGAGCTTATTAATAGTTTTGATTTTATGTATAAAAAAAATAAATACATATATTTCAAATATATATATTTAATTAGGAACATGCAGGAAAAATATTATGATATATTCTTAGTCCACTTGTGTATGTTTTACGTGTGGAGCTAGGAGCTTTAGAATTTTGTACTTGATGTATTTTTTAAATGATCAGATTGCTTATTTTGTAGGAATTAAAGCACCAGTCCCAAAAAAATTATTATTCATATCAGGGTTAAAAATTGCAGTTGTACTGTATGCAAGATCTTAGTTTAGGTAATGTTTATGAGCTAAATAACTTTAAAAAATTGCACAAGGCAATATCACAAAATGATACAAGTAATATCTTAAAATGATTGCGTGATCGAAATATATTTCAGACGAACAAATTTAAATCAAATTAATGAAGATCGTTGTTCACCAACAACATCTACTCGAAGTATGGAATGGTTTGATGATGATTACTGTCCATTTCACGTAAATCAAAATTGTAATGAAAAATTATCAATGGAAAGTGGTAAAGACGAAGAAAATCCATTGGCCGCTTGTTTTAATCATTCTACTTTCGATAAGGTTATTGTATTCAAATTTTATCATAATTAATTATTTTAAATCTGTCATGTTATAAAATGATGATTTTTATTTGCACAGTATATGCATCATAAAAAACTAATGAAATACTACAATTTGCACAAGTTGCATAAAAGTTTTATAAATATTAAAAAACAAATGACAATGATAGATAAATCTTTAATTTGATAATTTTTTAAAATTAAATTAAATTAATAAGTGAAGAATAAGATTGCAATCAAACACTTTTATGGGTGTATTTAAATTTTATATGATATGCATGACTTTTCAGTCTTGTTTTTACAAACAATTTAAGGTTTAATAAATTGTAATAAATTTATTTTAAAGCATATGAGTAATTTGTTAACAGATATTTGAAAAATAATTTTGATTTAACGCATTGGATTAGTTTTTTGAATAAAAGTTTTATGCTTCGATTCATCAGATGAATTTTAAGTTTATTTATTGTATTCATCTGATTCTGCTGAACAGATTCGTGAACTAAGAAATTGATATTATTCATAAAAAGGAAGTAAAAACAATGACATCAGCATGTTTTTTTACTTTTAAAGTTTAAGAATTATGCACTAATTTATGAATGTTTTGGATTAGAACATTTAATTGAAGTATATGATATGCACTCTAATTTATTATGCAAAAATATGATGTGAGTGTAAAAGTATAGCGTGAATAAAAAAATAAATTGTAATTTTTGACTAGTAACATAACATATTAAAAAAAAATTAGGTTACTGGTCAAGAAGTAAATTTAATAATGGACTATGAAGTATTAATTAGATCAATTAATAGTAAGTAATATTCAGCCAAATGCAAATACCTCGGAAAGTATAAAACACAAATATTTATTAAATGTTACACGTGATTTGATGGCATGGGCGAGGGAACAGTTCACTCCGAAATCACATCAATTGAAAGTATGTTATTATTATTTATTGTTATTATTATTATTATTAATTATTATATTATTATTATTAATGAAAGACATTGATTAATCTGTTGATTTTATCATAACCAAACATTTACTTAACATTTTATAAAAACGAAAATTTTTAGCATTTTCAAACTTTCGAAAAGCATAAAAAATTGAAAAATTCATCAAAAAATTGTGAGTAATTTAAATCTTGGAAACAAAAACAAAAATTTATTATTTATTTTTAGAATCTTTGAGTTTTAATTAAATAAACAATTTAAATTCAATTTCAGGCTCTCCAATCATTATATGTATCACATTGTCGATGGCGAAGAATTGGTTTGAAGTACAGTTCAAACAGTTTTGAGCAATTTCTCACTTCACTTTTGCATTTAATGCTTCTTCGCCGAATACGTTTTTTTGGTTGTACAAATATGCAAATTATTGCAAAGGTTTGTTTTTTATCTTCCAAATTTTTGCTTACATTTATGCTACATTGAAAGTTATTCCCTACAAGACTTAGTAGTGAACTTTAATATCATAAGATTCAGAAATAAAAATTCATAACTTTAAGTAATTATTTTAAATACTGATAATTTTTTTTGCTTTCATTATTGAAATTGAACAGGAATGAACTACTTTCATGAAACTTTATTTTTTTTATTCATTTGATTGAAAGTATCATTTTGTGAATGAATATTTCACAGCACCTGACAAAATTTGAAATGAAAAGTATGCAAAAACTTCTTATGAACTTCTGATTCTACCTTTGTTTTTATTTATTCTAAGCATTTTTATTTAAATTACATTAAACACAATATTACTAATTTGAAAAAAAGGCATCGAATAATTTGAACTGGGCAGACATATCTTCAATTTCCACAAAAAAAGTAATTTAATTTAATGATACATTAATTCGAGATTGGTTGAAGAAAGCTAATTGAAATTACAGTTATTTGAAATTTTTGGAAAAAATTAAGTAAAAATTTTGTTCAGCTTTAAATTAATAAAAACAAAAAGTTTTTAAACCATTTTTGTGTTTGAAATTTCAAACATTCTAAAATTTGGTACAAAATATTTAAAAATTATTTTTTGATGATTTAATTTCCCTCATTTTTTATAACGCATTTACTAATCTTGTCAATTTTTTGACTAATTTTAAATGTCACTAGCCTTTTTTTCAATATCCAATCTTAATATATCATAATATAAAAAAGGTTATTTAAATCATTTTTAAATGTCACCTTTCCAAAAAAAACCTTTAAATATTTAATAAAAGTCTAAACTTGTATTTGCAATTAAAAAATTACCGAAGCTTAATGTCATTCATACCTTCTAGCTTCATTATTAATTTTTAATGCAACGGATATTGCAAGTTCTGTATGTACTCTTATGCAGTCTGTAAATATTTTAATATATGTATATATATATATTAAAATATTTACAGACTGCATAAGAGTA